CCAATTTGAATTTTTAATCTATACTGTATGTTCATGGTATTCATTTCTTTTTAATGACAGATTTTGACGGAAGAATTACCCTTAAACATAAGGCTCATGGGTGTTCGACTATCTAATTTACGTTCACGTAATGATGAATGTGGACTGAATAAGGTATACACATAGTTATTTTACGTTTCACCTTGCGCTTCTAATTTAAAATATCTATTTTATTTTGATTATTTAATATAAAAATTTGAAAGTGGTTTTTTAAACAACAAAATCCTCCAAAACAATCAGCAATTTCTAAAGAATCAGAACTTGAACCACCAAGAACATCAAATCCTAGTAGTAGTTGTTTGAAAAGGGTATATATCATTAATTTTGGTTTAGTAATTCATTTCATTCAATATTATATAAAAAAAGAATTCTTTCTTAAAAGTGGTTTTCGACACAAGAAGATACGAATGACCAAGAAAAACAAACAAAAAAGCAACGACTTAACATTGAACCATTTGGAATTTCAAATGCATCAAATCATAATTCTGCTCGGAGAAATGTAGCCGACCTGTTGTCAGAACGTGAATCCGCCATAACCTCTTGTACTCCAACTCAGGAAGCCAATGAAAAACATAAATGGTATCCTGTACCAACTCAAGAAATACATTTGCCCTGGTTGTAATAAACAGTTTCCAAATGTAAAAGTTTCACAAATTAACGAACATCTGGATACATGTTTAAATGCTGAAAATATAATTGATAGTGATTTTGAACAAGATGTAATCTATTCAAGTTATTTTGTACAAAACGAACAAGATGACCGGATTGGACTAGATGACCGGATTGGACTAGATGACCGAATTGAACTAGATGACCGAATTGAACTCGAAGAACGAATTGAACTAGAAGAACAAACTGAACTAGTTGAACCTGAAGATACAAATAGTGAAGTTTATGGATCTGATGTTCCTGAAAATTCCGAAAACGACCCGGGCGCTCAAACGATGAATATTGATTGGAAATGTCCAAAATGTGATAAAATCTTTAAAAAACCCACAAACATGCGTATAAATTCACATCTTGACAATTGTTTAAAAACAAATAAGGGGTATGTTGAAATAGCATCATAATTTTTATAATTAGTTGCACTAATAATACGGTTCATTTAGGACGGCAAAAACTGGTCTAATAAAAAGAAGAAATACGAAAACAAGTTGCAAAAACCATTAAAAAATGTCTAGGCTTTTATTTTTGTTGTCAAGTAAAAACAAGATATAAATTTTGTGTAACTCTGCTTTCATATTGTTCTACGCAATGTATTGATAGCTAAAAAAGCTTTTATAGATTGAAAATGTAATACCAATAATTGTAAATGTTATTTTTAATCTTTCAACATTTAAATGCTATATCTCGAAAATGCTAAAGCTAAGTCATAAATTTATCACGGTGTATAAACACTTGTATAAACTGTCTACGATATTTTTTTATATTCATTTTTTATAAACCGCATAATAGTCAGGTAACATATTTCACATAATAAGTAAAATGCTTCTAATTTTTAAAAATTATTAACAAACATTATAGATGCAGACATTTGAAGATGTTATGGTTACGTCCATTTGACGTGTTGTCACGTCAAAAGTGTCATAACGATGTAGGTCATGATATCTGACATTTGCCGTAACTTGGTTACGACAATATAAAAAGTTACGGCAATACAAGATGTTAAAATTATAAAAAGTTATGACATTATTGAAAAATAGAAAATTACGCAATAAAAATTGTTATATTAAACGACCAAGAATTTATCCCAATAACTTTTATAAAATAACAACGATAATAACTACATAGTATACTTTACACTTTACAGCGTAGAGTCAAGTATTTTATATTGAATAAAATGACAAAATAATGCTAAGCTTATATATTCTTCTTATAACGTCGAGAATATTAGTATAGATTTTTGTACTTCATGTCAAGTGTTACGAGGATAGTAAAATATTACTCGACTCAGCAAGGCGGATGTTACGGCATAAGTCGGACGTAAGTTAGAAGTTACTATCAACATGTAAATCAGATATGACGCAAAAGTCAAATTTTGCGACACAAGTCAAATGTTACGGCATGGCCTTTTGACGTATCATAATGTCATTGAGTTACGTCCAATTGACATTATAACTTCACCAAATGTCTGTACCTATAACAAAGATACATATATTACATCTTTTTTTTAAAAAAAAAAAATCAATTAAGCAATTTTTAAACCAGTTAATATGTAAATCAAGTGAAAAATTATCCATTTACTTGTACTTTATATTAAAGATCTTTTTATCTCCCGTGATTTTTACATGAGGCGATAATGTCAATACTTTAAATGCCAATGTTTGAAAAAATGAACTTATACATAAACAATATTCGTACCTTGGGATAATTAATTGCGTATGTTTATGAAATTGAATAACTCTATTACTTTATTGTCGCATTTGATAAATTAAAAAATTTTTTGTATATAGAATTTTATCCAAATTACGTAAAACTTCCAATTCATCGTCCCAACTTTATTTAAGGCTACATCGATATCGATAGTAAAAAATTTAACTTTAAATATATATAGATACGATCATCGTTTTATAAAAATTAGGTTTATCCGTAATGAGTAAAAGTATTAGATTATTAATCAATATATCAGATGACCTTCTAAGTCATTTCTTTTAAGATGTCTAATGAATAGTTGTTTGTCATTTATTTGAGTCATTTCAGGTCCTCTATCATCATAGACAGCAACAGAAGAAACACACGAGAAACAAAATAATCATAGTATTTATTCATATAATCTTGAAGCTATTTCTAAACATACGATTTGTACGTAAACATAAAAAATCTGATATCTTAAGCATAAAATAATTAATAACATCACTTAAAAAAATTAACTTTTCCTTTTCCTTTAATGATAACCTCATCTCTTTTAATCCTAACTTCTGTGTCTTCATTCTCCATGTTAATAGATTCGATAAGACTAACTTTCTTCATGTTCTTATCCATTTCTACATCGCTATCAGATGATATATTAACTGTGTCAAGTTCCAGAATTTCATCGTTTTTCATAAAGCCAGTTTGAGAGCTTTCAGACACGGCGTCATCACAATTTTCTTGAAATCGAACCAATCTATCACCACGTTCTAACTTTTTTTCTTTAATAGTGTCCCAAATTTCTTTATGGTAATGAGAAACATGATACTTCAGCTCAGTGATGTGAGGTTCTTTATACTTACGAGAACATAAATTACACTGATGTTCTCCAGAATCAATTACAGAAAAATATTCATAAACCCTATGACGAGATCCACGGTTTTTACCTCTAACAGACTTTAAATCCTTCCAAATATTTAAATGTTTGGATCTAAAATGATTCTTCGCTGTTGAAATATTCAAAGGCGAATCATATTCTTTGTCACAAAGAGAACAAATGATTTTCTCTCCATTTACATTGTATTTATTATAAATGGGATGAGTAGTATCGCTTTTACTCATTTTCGTCAAAGCTGGTGATCACAATAAATCAAATAGTAAATCACAATGTCAATTAACCAATATATACTAAAAAAAAAACGGAGTTATATAGTAGGAAATCAGAATCTGATCAAAACACTGATTGCAGACCATCATGGGAACCATCAATTCACAAATTAATTTGTTATAACCATCTGACATTGCATAAACATGTGTCGCTAAAATAATAGCAAGAAGTATATGGCTTATAGTATTTATGAGTGCGTGGAAAAAACGTGAAATTTTGATACTAATTTATCTACAGTATTTTGGTGTAAAATGGCATTATTCATCTCCTAAGTTTAAGTATCGATTTAAATTTATCAGGAACTGAGTGATATTGAAGTGTATAACTATTGCTAAAAATTAAATGCTATGCATGTACGAAACAACAATGTGAATACATATTAGGAACCTCACATTAGTGTTCCGAGTTGATAAAAAATTTCCAATCGATTAGTGCCAACTATAGTTGCAACTAATCGATTTTTCCTATCATGCGACTACTAACATATTACATCTCACATCTCAGAGCATATGAGCTCTGTTCAATAGAAAAGAGGAAAATCTCTTTTTATTGAACGGCACCCATATGTAGTACATACTAGTATTGCAAACTTAATTAAAATAAAATTTGTATTATAAAGTTAAAAATAAAAAATGAAAGTATTTTTGTATTTAAAAAGCTGATAGTATTGAGTAATATATAGGAATTTATTTGAACTATACGATAAGATAATTTACTGTGTTTTTGATAGTTTAAATAAATTATATGATATATCAATGATTCAATATTGTAATTGCTAACCAACAATATTTTTTTAAAATAAATTATTTGAGCATTTAAATTTAATTAATTTGGCAATACTAGTACATTTGTAAGTTTTTCTAATAATTCGATGTCAGAATATTTTTTTAATGCAATTTTTTGTATAATGATAATAAGAAATATCAAGATTTAGAATAAAATGCTTATTTATATACCTTATGATTAATTTTTCATTTACAACTTTAAGATTACTTACTTGGTTATATGGTATTAGGGTTGAATAGTTTTGTTTAGGTTTGGTTTTTGTTTCAGAGTCTTTAGGTTTCATTTTGTAAACTAATAAACTTGGTTTTTAAGAATTAGATTCCAAACTTGCTTTGGTTTGAAATAAGCTCCAAAACCTGATTTTAGAATCTAGTTTTAGAATTTGGTTTTAGAACTTGATTCAAATATAAAAATATTAAGTTTTATAGTATTTTATTTTTATTTAATTTTTAAGCAGCCTTAGCATATTTACAAGTATAATAATTAATTATAAAATCTATAAACTTTTATTTCATGTTTTTATAATAATAATTCAATTATAGTATTATAAAATTAATTCTTATTTTTTTTAATATTAATATAAAACCATGTTTTTATCTTTATTGAATATTTAATTAAGATTTTATATAGAGTATAATTCTGTTTTTAAAATATTATAAAAAGAATAGAAGTTTATACTAATTTATCTGTAACCTAAACTAATTAAAGTGGTTAAGGCTCACCTAGATTTAAGTGTTAGTAATTATGTATAAAGAATTAGTTTGATATTTAATTTATTAGATATATTAGAAGTTTATTTTTAAACTAATAGAATTGAACAGAAGAAAACATAATAAGAGTAAGATAGAGTTCAATAATGAGTTGTATTCAAAAGATTGAGTTGTATTCAAAAAATTGAGTTGTAAATTTTAAAATAAAATAAGAAATCTAAATTTTGTAATAAATTTGTTAATTAAAATAAAGCAAAACTTTATAATAAATATTGTAACTATTTTTTTGTATAACAAAATTATAATAATATTAATAAGTTTATTTGATATTAGATCTGTTAAAGTTAGAAAAACTAATAAAACAAAGAGTTAAGCTTTATAACTTAATGATTAATTTACTAACTTTTTATAAACAAGGTCAATAGTTTGAGTTAGGCTAAAAACAAAATCTAAGAATTTTAAAAACTCTGTAATCTAAAAATAAAAATTAAATTAAATATAAACTTTGTAAAAAATTCTAAAGTAAAGTACAAAAATAAATTAAAAAGTTATAAAAAAAAATTAATTTTGCAGAAAGAAGACTTTATATATAATGATAATATTACAAAAAATTTTGTTATATAAAGTATTGTATAGATAAGTCTTTTAAGAGATAGAATAGCATTAACAACTTTGTATCTAACTTGCAAAGCACTTAATTAAAAGAATAATTCTAATATAACTAAAACTAAAATAATAAGCAAAGTAAAAAAGATCTGTAATAAAGAATCTGTCTAATTAATATCTTTGATAAATATTATAAAACTTTAAAGAAGCAGAACAATAGTTATATATTATAACATTATTAATAGTTATTATACTTATATATAATAAATCAAAATTTTAAATTTTTTTACAATACCAAACTAGAAATATAATAGTATAATAGTAATAGTACACTTGATATCTAATTACAGAAAGTATCTGCAATTATGCTATAGCTAAAACCAACTATAGAAGTATACAAAAAAAGATATATAGTAATTGCAGATTATAATCTAAAATCTTAATAAATCTAGCTATACAGATTAATACTAATATAAAGAGCTGTATATATTAAATTGATAACAAAAAGAGTATGAAATTACCAAATTCAATTAATTTAAAAGAAAAAAAAATTATTACAAGAAGCAAATAAAGAAATTACAGTTAAGTAAAATTAGAGAATATAGTATAACAAAATGACTACAGCTTTATCTTAATTAGTAATAATAGTTGAAATGATATAATTCTGATAATAGTATAAAAAAGTATAAACAATATTATATTAGATAACTATCTCTTAATCTGTAGGTTTTTTTAGACAAATTTGTCTAAAAAATTATTAAAAATATGTTTATAATTTACTTTTTTTAAATTTTAAAATATTTAAATAAAATTTTATTTAATAATATTTTAAAATAGAATGTAGTAACTTAGTAAAGTGATTAGATTGTTAACTCCCAAATGGCAGATCTAGAGTTCAAATTCTATGAACAACAAATTTTGAAAATTATATTTGTGTTATAGTAACTGACTTTGTCAATCAGTTGAATTAGATAAATCTGTAACTTTTAGTTATACTATCTCAAATAGGAGCTCAGAACATCTATGCAAAATGTAACATTATATATACATAGAAAAATGCTTAACCAATATTGTATAAGACCTTGGTGCAAACCTATAATAAGACCATCAGGTGCAAAAAGTAAAGAAACTATAAAGTTGGAAGCCTACTTAAAAATTCTAAATAAGAAGATAGCATAAACTTTTGATAGTGCTATCAGACTGATAAAAGCCCATGAAACACCTTTAGTAAGAATAGGTGAATAAACTGAATAATAAAATATATAAAAGAGCATATAACCAACCAGGCTGTTAGAATTGCTGAAGAAAAAAAATACTAAGGTATACATATCAGGTCATCTGAATTAGAAGTCTGAAGAATCCTATCAGTTCCTAGCTATAGTTAATAGAAGATGATGAAGAAATGTTGGAAAAAAGGATACCAAGGTTTGAATGAACCTTACAAGAGTATAGTGGTTTAATAGTTAGTCTTGACTATAAATAATAGTTTAGACCAAAGCAATACTAAGTTAGCTGTAAGTATAAAATACAGAAAGCTTTGGTGAGTTTAGTACAAAGTTAAATATGACTTAGTAATTATAATATATTTTTATCAGTTTACCAGTGTCATTAGTAGGACATAGTAAATATGGAATCAGAATGTTTAAATAGAGAATCTACAAGTAAGTCTTAAATATAGCAACTAGTCAAACAGACTACTTAAATTAGACAATAACTAAAGTTAGATGAGTAGCTAGTTGTATACTCTT